TCATCTAGATTCACAGTGGTTGCATGAGACGGTCTTGGTGGGAGGGGGCGGGGGAATTTCAGTCATCAGTCCGAAACTTGACATTTTTTTATCCTGGCAAGTCAATTTGACTGCCCTGAGATCTCAGAGAGCAAAAACGCTAAAGACAAAAGATTCACAAGTTACGTGGGTTCACAAATTTCACAAGGTCAGGTGTACGTAAACTCAAAAGTGTAAAACTAAGCCCCTTAGATCATGACCTTATTGGTCAAACAGGATACAAAAAAATGTCTAGTTTCGGACTGATGACTGAAATTCCCCCCGCCCCCCTCCCACCGAGACCGTCTCATGCAACCTCTGTGAATCTAGATGATGCTGGTCCTAAACAAACGGCATCTAGTACGCTCTTACATTCAATGACTGCTTTCTATCCGTAAAGCGTAAATATGAGCAAACATTTAGAGACTCCGTATATTTTTGCAGTTAAGTAGTCATCAAGGATTATGCTAGGCGATACGTTCTTAGAAACAAAATGCTCACCCGGGACTTTTAAGTTCGTCATTTTTCCCGGACTTAAAGAGCCCTATAGTAGATGCATAACGTGGTTCTTGCTCTGAACAACATGAGAACAAGCACCAGAAACTACCCCATACATTGAGTTGCGGCAACAAGCAGGTTATTTGTTACCTTGGTCTAACCGTTACCCTTGACCCTACGCTATTGAAATTCGTCAGTTTGAGTGTTATGCTGCGTAAGAAATTATCTCCGAGATGTACGGCTTCACTTACTACTCCGTTGCTTCATCAGATGGAACGATTCCTTAGTATTGTCTTCGCTGAATCCATGGCCCGATTTCGACAACCGTAGGTCAGCAGCCTTATAAGGTGCAACTAAATTGCTGACACTGAACAACCCGCTATTCAACTGTGTACTATTACGCCAATTTTGGAGTGGCTACGCCACGCTGGGCACGAATCATACCGGAAAAAAACATCTGTGGAGGGGAGGGGGCGAAATACACCCGCGCCCAAGCGCATGTTAATCTGCACCCGGCTAGCCAGGTGAGCACCGCACACTCGTATTGGGTCAATGGCATCCTCTAAATCATCAAAAACTACGAAAGCTATAAGAACCAATTTCACAAGATAGGGTTGCTTGTAAGCAAGCTAAATTTTGTCACACTTTCAGGACCTTAGGCCATACCTTCGGGTTAAACAAGATCAAACGATGCTTAACTCCCGACCGGTGTTAAAGGTATTACCACAACTCCTTATGCAAACGCCTTAAACCTAAATAACTACCCTGAGTACAGCGTAGCTGGCGTTCAGTTCAGATCTGGGGCCTTGTTTAACCTTTCGATGGTCATGGTGACCGAATACAGCATTGCTTGGGTTTTGAAATTTTAAGAAACGTCAAGAAGTGCGCAAGGTAGTATGGTAATTCTTGGTCACCTAAGATCAATGACATTTTCTGAGTTTGAAGAACTCACGAAATATCACTTTACAATCAGTGTTATTAAGAACTTCAAAGTGAGCACCACAAACTACCCCACACAGCACGCTCGACCAAAAAAAAAAAAAAACAGATTGCTTTTCTTTTCGGTTCAACCTTCATACCTCACCAAGGTTGAATGAAGTTGTGGCAGTCCTAACTTATCACGTCTCACTGCTTGCGAAACTGTTTTAGGTATGTATGGCTTCGTATAACATTCCGTTTTGGCCTGACATTGAACAAGTCCTTCCATGTTGCGTTCACTGATACTCACGGGGTAAATTTGACCTGCCATGATCTAGGTCAGCGGTCTTAAAGGGGTGTTTCACATTTGAACATACTGAAGCAATCATCAGACATGATGAAACCACGCCACTTATAACTGACGTTTCGTGCGCACATATGCGTTTTATAACGCGTTTTATGCGTTTAACGTATATTTTTTAGTGCAAAAGACTGCTCCAGACAGTACAATTATCTCTTTACTAAATATCCTCCTGAATGCTTCATAGTTTGATTACGTCATCATATATTGCACAACATTGATTGAGCGCCCATTGACGGCCATTATATCTAGAAACGCGCTCACAAACGCCAGATATAAACTCCTCGACAACTGTATTTTCTCTGCCTTGATTGCCGTATGGCTTATGAACTGATGCAATTTGAATAACGCTCTTATGTTGTCATGAGTGCGAGGGTGAGTTTTGAATCTTGACATTTCATTTAAACTAAAATGAATTTTACCGTACTGCCGGCGGAATTACGTCGGAGTTCCGCAATGTTCAACAAGCAGAAGTTGTTACGCATGGTGAAACTGTTTGCACGTGCGGGGCCTCACAACTCGCATTATGAGCGGTGGCGCAGGCCCGGTAAACTTCGTTGGCTAGAAATCACATGGCTTCAGCGCCTTTGGCGGATAAGTATTTACTTCATTTTGAACGTGCACATATCGTTGCGACCAGATGTCGAGCGAGAGGAAAAATGCGAAAAATTTAAGAGAAACAAATGCTCATGTTTGTCATGTCATGCCACGTCATGTTCATGTAAGCTCATGTTTATGACTAAGAAAAGTTTGGGCAATGGCAAATGGCATCAGGCTACCTGTGACCACCGCCCCAGTCGGATCGCACGTGACCTGCTCCGTCCACCCGCTCGCTCCTCTTATACGCCGGAGGAGTGACCGGCCGAGCTGAGTGAGAGTGTCCGCGACTCAGCACTGACTGGTGACTGACAAGTGACTTCCATTACGATGGACGAGGCCATCAAGAGAGCGGTTATCAACACGGTGAAGCAAGGAAACCTCCTGAATTCTGTCAAGAGCAGGTGACGGCGACCGTGGCCGAAGCTGTGGTCGATAAGTGGAAAATGCGCCAGTGCTGCCATCTCTCAACGAGTTCGAGATACTACGAGTGGTAATTTCGCATGGCTCACTTGACAGCACGTCAACGTCACACAAACGTTCCACGATGCAATGAAAGAATGACGTACTGAAAAGCACAGTTACCAAATATAGCAGTTTCCTTATCTAGAGCGGTCTATGCCACTCCTTATCAGTCGCTGCCACTTAAAAGTACACTGATGATTATAAGCATGTTGATTGCATCCTATGTCATGGTGGCTTCAATCTCATTAAATCTGGCACCTTCCTTCTCATTAGTGCAGCTAAGATTTTTCCCTAAATTGTGATTTTTGTCTCGGATGAGATAAATTTGGACCGTGATCATCAGTGCCGCTGATAAACACGCAAACCTAAACGCATTTAATCACTTCGCTGATCATCAAAACAACTTTGTGGTCCCGTAGTTAGCAAATACTTTCTTAACCAGTGATCTCCAGTGCGGGGAAGCTAAGCGCAGTTTTTCCTAACGTTGTGTATCACGTTTGTTCGAAATTAAAGAGTCAGTATTCCATCAGTCACGATTTCTTTGGTTGCACTTGGTAAATCAGATGTTGCTATTTTGTTTTACACGTAAGATTTCACTCTGGATTATCACTTCAGCGCATGATTTATGTGACGGGCAAACTGATGAAATGTTCCCGTAGTGCTAGTGCCCTAAATCCAGCATTGGCTCGTGCCCTTGGCCCGCCAACGCAGCTCGGCACGACTTGCGCGGTGCTGTAGATGACGCCACCTACAGTGGTGGCGCTACCTACGGTGGTGCTGCCGCCTACAGGTGACGCTGCCTACAGATCGGGTCCGTTTGGGGCAATGTCGTCAAAGCGCAAAAAGCGGTTCTTTCTCGTTACGATGCGCTTGGCAGCGTGACTAAAGGCGCAGGGACACAATGTATTTGCCCCCCCCCCCCCCTCTCCCTCTGACACAGAAACGTGATATTGTTTCACCTTTTTAACCCGAAGGTCATGACTTGGACCTGACTTTGACATGACATGACATGACACAGATGACATGACACAAGACACGACCTGGAACTTTGACCTGAGTGACTTAACGTACAGGTCAGCACACCTCGCAAGTCTGGTATCTCTAGCTGTTTAAGTTCCCGAGATCTCAGGGGGCGCTCAAAATGGCCACCCACCCGAGCGAAGGGTATGTAGCCGGCTACCCGGGCGCGTGTGAAGACGGAGACGCCTAGGGCAATGCTTCGGTCATTCAGTTTACGCTTGGTTTCCTCTATTCCCCCCGCCCCCAGCCCCCTACTCTTTGATCTGTTCATTCTTATCGACCACAGCTTCGGCCACGGTCGCCGTCACCTGCTCGTTGACAGAATTCAGGAGGTTTCCCTGCTTCACCGCGTCCATCACCGCTCTCTTGATGGCCTTGTCCATCCTAATGGAAGTCACTTGTCAGTCACCAGTCAGTGGTGGGTAGGGGACTCTCTCTCTCTCACTGGTTTTGGCCGGTCACTCCCTCAACGTATAAGGGGATCAAGCGGGAGGAAGCAGCACGTAACGTGCGATCCGACCGGGGCGATGGTCACAAGTAGCCTGATGCCATTTGCCATGGCGCAAACTTTCCGTAGTCACAAACATGAGTGCCTACTATTTGTTTCTTTTGAATTGTTCGCATTTTTCCTCACGCTCGGACATCTGGTCGCAACAATATGTGTACGTTCAAAATGAAATAAATACTTAACCGGCAAAGGCGCTGAAGACATGTGATTTCTGGCCAACGAAGTTTACCGGGCCTGCGCCACCGCTCGTAATGCGAGTTGTGAGGCCCCGCACGTGCCAGTAATTTCGCCATGCACGACTTCTGCTTGTTGAAAATTACTGAAGCCCGACATATTTCTTTCAGGAATTCATGTCAAACATAATGGAGAGCAATCCATGCTGACGCGCCGCATCATAGGTCATGAGCAATATCGGTGCTGTCTCACTGCTTATAAAAGCGGGCCTTCAGTGCATTCAAATCCGCCTTGCATTCATCTCAGGAAAAATGACATCGATTTATAGGTATATTGCGCACGCATATACACATGGTTACACATCTTGCGGGGATTCGTGCCATATGACGCACGCAAAGCCCGAAGTCGCTCCTTTGTAAAACTGCGTTACCAACGGCACGTGGTACCTACCACCGACAAATGTACATGTACAGGATAAAATTACCGGCGGAAATGAAGGCACAAGACTTTACAACATATCACAGCTATGCAAGTAATAGCCCATGATGACCTAAGGCACAGCAAGGAACACATTTCAACGCCTCAACAATCGACTTTACATCACTGATGAGCTTTCCCACAGCCAAGGACGAAATCACTCGTAACATATCACTCATATCATACAGATGAATGTAGACATGGCACATGCGCATACTTCTAAAGCTCGTATCACATACAAAACTGATGGCACAGAAAATTATCACATACAACTGTAGGGGCCTGAGAACAGGATGATGACGTTACATCCGCAATCACCAATTGCCTATCTACCGCCGATAAATGTAGATAAACAGGACACAATTATCGGCGTGAATGAAGGCACAATACTTGAAAACATATCACAGGTATGCAAGCAATAGCCCATGATGACCTATCAATGAACACATTTCAATGCCTGAGCAGAGCAATGAAGAAAGCAATGGACACATTTTAATGTCTTAAAATTGACTAAATATCACTGATGAGCTTTCGCACAGCCACCGCTGCATGCCAGGTACAAAATCACTCGTCACATATCACTCATGATACAAACAAATGTACAGGTGGCATATGCACATATTTCTCAAGCTGGCATGACATAAACAACCGATGGCACAGAAAACTATCACATACAACTGAAGGCACCTGAGAAACAGCATCATGACGTTATATATGCAAGCACCGACTGCTTGGGATAAAAGGCGTCAATACAGCGTGACAAATCACAGAAAAATGCCATGAGTTACAAGCAAACAAAACACCTGCACACGAATATGCACACATGTACAGCCATACAGAGTAACTGAGGCAGCTGAGGTATTCAGAACACCCCTGTGATTTTCCGCACAATTCAACGCAACCATCAGTGGTCCACCGGGCCCCCGTCACCGGCCACGGCAACACCATCAGTGTCCTCCTCATCATCTGAGTCCTCGGGAAGGATCTCTGGCCAAACGCCCATCCACACTGTGGGAGGTGCCCGTCTCCATTCTTCCTCTTCATCCTCGACGTCGTCTTCCCAGTCGCTGTCGCTGCCATCTATCGGAGACTCCACGAAGCTCGTTTTTGACTCATGCTCACGCCGCGGCTCGGGGAAGAGAATGGCCAGCGGAGCGATCGGCTCGTACCGCTCCCCGTCAAACCGGGTGAAGAAGCGTCCCACTTCCTGATGATCGATAGGCTGGGGATCTGGGGCCAGTTGCAGCTCCTCTGCAATGATACATCCACTTCTGTTAGAGGTAGACAGATGGGGCGCTCTACACAAGAATGGGTGCAAAATATATTGCAAGTTGCTGTGATTTGTAGACGGCCTAACAATATTTTTTCAACAGCAGCTGGGGGCGTGAGCTGCACCACGTAGTGCAACGTCCAGTTCGGCTGTGTAATGTAGAAATATTGGAACTTATGAAATAGCAATGAACACGAATCAGAGCAGATATTCCAAAATCTGTCATGCAGACATCATCAATAGTCAACTCAACATAGCACCTTTGTGGTGTACATAAAGCTGGTCCAATGCACCCAACCAAAATATGCCAGCGCTCTGCTCGTAACTGACATACTGGTGGGATGTCAGTGTAATGTACTCCGAATCGGTGCACAACATTTACTCGGGGAGCCTGCTCACCTTCAGCCATGCATCCGAAACGGTCACCCTCCATCAACAAGTTGTAGAAAGGTTGCTTTTCTCCTCGCTGAAGTCCGGAGCAGGCGCGACTATGTGCTATCCAGTCCTGCAAACACCACCAACCCCGAGTCAACACAATAACTCACACCACGTGGCCGTCGTAGGAGATGAGAGCGAGGGGAATTCGTGAGGCTCCGTGTAAATGCTGGTAAAGAAATTTCACGCATCAAGTGCGTTTCAAGAAATTCAAGTGATGTCCGTGGCAAATTGGTACGCTTACATGCCCATCACTGATGCACCGATTTCTACTACCAATCAAGAAGGGGAAAAGCCCAGAATGAAAGAATGACACAAATGCAACATGCCTGTATGAAACAGAAAGACACATTTGTGATACGGCGATGGCATGCATTGAAAAAGAATTATGTGAATGGCGGACAGGACATTGTAAAACCATAATTGACCATATTAGATACTTTAAACCCCAACATGCTGAAGCCATTCTATATCCCCTCTTTCAAAAAAGATCGCCGTTGGCAAAATAAGGATAGCACTTGTCACACAAATAAATATTTACCAGGCCTTCAGCGACTGCCTTTCTGTGGAAGAAGTGACAAAACAACAAAAAAGTCGAGTTGACTTCTCAGGCTTTGCCACTTAACTAGATCAATTCTTTACAAAACAGTACAAATGGGGTCAGACATGGACTGGCCTGATCCTGTCACTCCATTTAAACCGCTCGTACCTGTGAGGCCTCGTAGTATGGTGAGCACCCGTACACCACTGCCAGGCGCTCGTCGCCGTACGTGACGACGTCACCGACGCCGAACTGCCTCGGATAGTCGCCCGCTGCTCGGTCCGCCGCGCGGAGGTTCACCTGCAACACCGATGAAAATACTGACGGCGTTGCACACAACCGCGGGAGATGATTGAGCGGCATGGTATAACATAAGTAGCGCGACACAAAACATAATTGAAAAGAAATGAGCTGCGATGGCAGTACCGAGCATCAGCCAAACCAGGAACAACAAGAAGGGAAAATAGGGCATCCACAAATCCTTGAAGCAAAAAGCTCACACGCACAAAACGACGTAACATTAGCACATCTGCATCACACTTGTATGCTGATGATGCTTAGACATGGGATTAAACATGCTCGACAACGGAATTTAGCCAGCGGCAATTAGCATTCAGCATTTTAACGTGCGTTTGCAAAAACACGTACACTTGACTGACCAACGTGCATGCATAACATAACGTGACACACAACAGCACCACGGAATCCAACTGCACCACTCACACGCGTACGCACAGGCACGCTTCCGCATTACGTTGGTGAAAAGCTGCAGGAGTAACCTCACGCATTGGCAATTTCATCAAATCCAGGTTATTATTATTACCAGCTCCTGGACTATGGCCTCTTGTTCATCCAGGGAGCGCGTCAGCCGTTTATACATCCTCTTGAAGTGCTTCATGAGTACTTCCAAGCCACGCCTTTCGTTCTCCGCCAGTAACACGCCGTTAGCCTCGACGAATTGCTGCAGACGGAAGGCAGTGAAAATAAGGTCACATCAGATTCCCTCATTGTATCGCCACGTGTTTTTTTCTGACACAATTTTGGACGCAACGCACAGCCCTTGATTGCGAGCCATGTACGAATTCGATACATCCGTGAACCAAAGATGAGACTAGAACGTCACCTTGCAGACGTCCGATCACATCTACATCTTACACAATTATTAGGCACATAAAAGTGAACCATACGTGTACTTCCGACAACGGTTGAAAACAACTGCCAAATGCCACGAAAATGCGACACCGCTGTGCCATCGCTGCCCACCTCAGCACCGCCTGATGAATGAAATCGACGAAGACGATTGGTCGAAGCCGAGGCTTTCTAGACGATTACACATCGCACACATGCTGCGTTAAGCGATTCACGTATGCTTCTTAGATTGTACGTGCTGAATTTTACGGTCCAGCGTCATTAAACACCACTGACCTGCAGCAGGCGGCGTGCGTACATCGGTCTGGAGCGAGCCACAGCGGACATCAGGTCGTCGAGCGCAGCCATGTCCAGGCGGCAGTCGCTGCGAGCCCAGCAGGCCAGTGTCTCAAACGAGACCAGGTCGAGGCCAGTCCCTGGCCGGCGGGCTTCCGGATGGGTGGCGCCATTGATCAGGCGGCCCAGCAGCTGCCCAAAACAATGCATCACGTGAGACAAAGAGGGACATCGTATTGGCACTACAGCACACTGAAGAGTGTACACACAGCAGGACTTATCACAAGTTGTAGCGGGCCTGCTGGTACTCACAGATTCACATAAGAACAAAACACCCTGAACCTCAGACTCTGGTGCTTTCTTTGCAAAGTTCCTTTGCCAAAGGCAGGCATATAAGTACTCGTCAAACAAAACGGCAGATTTTTCAACAAAAAATCCACGTACCCTATATAACAGGGCCTGTGCTCCCAGAATTTGCAACATCAGATGCATCACGTACCCCTGCTCTGGGAAAGGGTTCCACCATCTGAAGGTCCATGTCCGGATGTACAGCATTCAACTCCTCCAACACCTGCTCTCTGGATAGCTGCATGCCGCGACGGACAACGTCGATGAACAGGTACTCTTCACTGTCCCTGCGTGAGGAGCAGCACGTCAAGACATCGTGCACAATGAACTGCATGCATTTATGCACGCATTACGTCAATTGCAATACATCAATGTGCAACAGACAACTTCAGTCACAAAGAAACAGGCACAAAAGCACATTCATAAAAAGGTAAACAAGACAAGACTAAACAAGACAAACATAGTCGGTGCAAAACTGTTGCATTTGCACAAGATGACAACACATCATGCATCAATACGATTGGCTTGACACAATATGGATGCTATATTGAGGAAATGAATGTCTATTTTTAAGGAAATAATGAATGTCATTACCCACAAATCATACGTAACACCACGTCACTATTTTGGTCCCCTTCCTCCGTACCGTAGTTACCAATTGCTCTAAAGAAAATGTTATAGGACCAAATATAACGGGGAATTTGAAACTTTTAACGAACAGAGAAGTGATGCACTTACCAGAGCTGATTTCAAGAATAAATGGCTTTGTTGAAAGAAACAAACACATCAAAAGGCAGGCCTGATCATGAAAAATGCATCAAAGTCTTTGGCATCAAGTGATTACAAAAACTGGTGAATAGATGCACGCCGTGAAAGCAGGAACACCCAAAAAGACGTGACTTGAGCAGCCAGTCTGTCTATTTAGCGTCAATGATGCCAGAAGACCCATTCCCCATGACCCTTACCACAATGCTTACGTTCGGTGCCAGCAGATCATCGAGCTATGCGGGAACTGCACATTGTGGAGGTTGACACCCAGCATGCCAGCTACCGAGGAGTAGACCGTCCCCATTACAGTCTGCGTCCCGGAGCCGGCACAGTGGAGGTGGCGACGAAGGTAGAGCACCTGAAAAAGGAAATAGCAAGCCATTTAATGCATTGTTCTGGAGGCAACAGTAGTAACCTGCACACAACAAGAGCAAACGGCCCATCACACCATTCAGTCACAGAGCGAGTAATATACTACAAAACGGAGATCACACTTGCTGAAATCAAACATCGCCTATTAGTAACGACCTCATTGACGAGCATTTTATCATGACTACCATGGTCAGTCGTCAAAGTCAGCAATTTTCACGGAGACTCTGGATTCTAGACTGTGCAAACATCGCAACAGGGTGTTCGGTGTTAAGCCATCTGACAGGAGCCGCATAATGAACCTTACGACGAACCGGCGGAAACGCATGATCCACAGTATGCTTCGCAGTTCACAGCCCCGCACGGAAAACACCATCAGGCAAAACAGGTCAGAAAGAGAAGTCTGCGCTTGTCCTGTGTGTGATTTCACCCAGTCCAACGTCCAGGAAACATTGATGAATAGTTAATGCAGTACACTCACCAGTGTGTTCAGCTCGGCAGCCGGTGCGTACGCCGGCTCTTCATCCTTCATCAGGGCAAGCTGGTCATACAGCACGATGTTCAGCACGTCCAGGAGCATCAGTGTCTGGTCGTCCGTCCACAGCGGAGGTCCGAACGGGTTCTTTTTGCACGTATCCCAGGCGGCGGCCGGGTGCTCCGGGAGCTTCCGACGAAGCTCGTCCAAAACCAGGCCGGCGACCTTCATGTAGCAGCTGTAAAAACCACGCCATGTCAACGCTCGCATGTACGCATGAAAGGTCGTCTTTGTTCACGGGGGAGGGGGAGGATGGAGACGAATGTTGCAAAGCTAAGACTGTATCCAGATTTGAGACTAGTGCCTTGTATCCCGTTCCTCTGGAGAAAACCACGATCACATTGGCATACTAAGTTTGACCTAGCTCTTTGCTACACCATGCGTCAAGTCCTGTTGATGCCCCTGTAGTAAAAACACAGCGCAGTGTGGCATTTGACTAGAGAGCGACAACATTGAAAATGCCATAACCACAGGTAACAGACGCCTGCAGTCAGCGATCATCGGCACAAATAAACACAGAAAAGGGCTGTGAGATTAGTTGCATACTTGTGTCCATCAGGAAGAGCTACATACACATTAGAAACACAGTCGAGCTGGCAAAACATGTTCGTGCCAAACTTTCAATTTCCGCATGGAGATCGAGCATCTGGTAAGGAGATGAAAGACTCACGCCTTAAGATTGGACTCTCGGTTGTTGGTTTGCTCCGGAACCATCCAGAGGCTCATCAGATAAAAGGCTTCGGGCACGTTCACATGCTGCGCTGGGCGCTGCATGTACTCCCGGAACATGGGCAGCAGCACGACGTCTCGCTGGATCTCGCGGAACAGCATCCGCGCATAGTAGCGCAGAGACAGGTCATCATCCCTGCCAAAGAAGGCTCGAATTACACATATGCCTAACACAGCATCTGTCCACTCCGGAGACCAGTTGAGATGTCAAAGGCTTATAGATAAGTCAATGAGTAAAACTTCTCGAGCGAATAGTTTGGTTCAGTCTGCAGATTACTTAGGCGATACCAGAGCATATGAAAAGTGCATGCAGGTAGTGGTGGTGAATAAACCAAGGTACTGGACAGAACAGCCTGGTACGTACGATACCGGCAAGCTGTTGAGATACGATAGCAGAAGGCAACCCTTGAGGAAGACGGGGTAATGACACTGGAGTGAAAAATTGATCCAGTCTTGGTTCTGTCCCACAAAATGTCAGGGATAAGATTGCCATTCCAAACTAAGAGGAAAGCGGGACAGAGCGACAAGAGACACTGGCACGCTCCTTGAGAAATGACCACCGTTTCTCAATATGGCCCAACTGTCAGAAGTATGAGAAGCTCCGTAGTTGAAGACAAAAAATTTAGAGAAATGAATACTTCAGACTGTGGATGATCTACACCATCAGCGTTCAGACGGCAAAGGGCACGTGAAGGATGATACGAAGGACATAGCACGTGCAGTACCTATGCGACTAAGAATTTATGGTTGAAAAATTGCATTCAGCTGAGCAAACTGCATGCCACCAGGCCACCCGAAAAATGTGATCCAACTTACGGACAGTGTTGGCAGGGATAGATGACCTCCAGAAGGGCATCCCGATTAAAAAGGGTACCATGGACGGGCACCAGCTTGCGGAACTCTTCCATGGCGGGGTCCGGCAGGCAGTGGACTGAGTAGCATCTGTCGGCCATCTTGGCTAGGGCCGTGCGCAGGTGGTGGCCAGAGGAGGCGCGGAACCTCGCAGTACGCCGCCAGCTGCGGCCGCACCGCTCAAACACGCGCAGCAGGGCAGGTCGGCACGAGGGCTGCAACAAGCGCGGGTACCTGCGAAACAAGAACACAAGGTCACGACTGACGCAAATCGGCACGTTGGGAGGTCTCTTGGGTGGAAGACCTGCCTAAATATCACGCCTAGCTCAATAATCTTGGTCAAAACATTGGGCACAGCGAGCGTGATTGAATCAATGACATCTTCAGTCAGCATATGCAATGAAACGTGACGCACACCACCACACACACCACATTTTCCTCACCGTACCATCACTGCAACTGGTTATTAGCAAGATGATCAGCATCTTTATATTTCTCGAGACATTTGTTTCTACCTGGATAGGACTGAATAAAGCAGATGCCCATAAATCAACAGTTGTTTAAATCATAGGAATTCCAATTATTGGTTGTAATGTGAAAAAAGATGGGTTGCTTTTGACCACTTTTGATTATCATATCAAATATAGCTGAGTTTCTTTTAGTAGTGCAGCTGTCCACTACTGGTGTCATGCATCAGTTCTTGTGTGGTGTGCTATTGTTACAAGACCAATGTTAAGTTTGTTTAATATGCTAATCACCATCTGAGAGATGGAAATAAAGGATTGGTGGAAAATTATGTGGATCAACAGAATGAAGATCCAAAAACAACTGTTGGTTGTCCATGAACCATTGACCTAGACAACCTCAGTTATTTGCATTTATCACCATAAAGTATATCACTGTATGGTTTACAAGATGTTTTAATACCATCATTGAATTAGCAAACAGGTGCCTTTTTTCTGGCACTAGCCTCTGTCCCCTGCAGCACTGGTTTTTGAACTTGTCAAAACTAGCTTGCATAAAATGTCCCAGGGGATAGTTTGGCACTACAATAATTTAGAAGAACACCTTATATCCTTCGGTCAAAATTTCAGAGCAACAAATGACATATATCAACACCTTGCACTATTTGCATATGATTGAATGGAAAAGACAGCACAAGACCCTTAAAAAAACAGTACCAGCGACAAGACACTAACAAATTTTTTAGGTGGAGCATCTTTTACCAAAGCCATCACCAACACTCTTTACCTTTTGTTCAAAATGCCATCCCTGTTACTGGCATTGGTTGCATATAGGCAAGGTTTTGCTTCTTGAGATAATTTAGCATATGCTTGCATTTTGAATGAAAAGTTATCATGAAACCCTTCCCATCTAAGCAGAATAGGATTGCAGTGCCAGGTAAAATTCAACAAAAGATGTTCCAAATGGGTTCATGAGGATGATTTGTAATGAAAGCTTTGATCAGCTGTCTGCCCTCCTTTGTCATTTGACAAATGGACTTTACCACATACTTATCAGCTGCACTGCATTTCCAGAACCCAAATTCAAGATATGCACAGTGTCTAACAAACAATATGTGCTACACCCAAATTCCATGTTGCATGTGAGCTTTACAGGTAGTAAGTGCAAAACATACTTCTCCCTGATATTATAATTTGCTTTCAGGAAATCATCATCCCAATCAAACACTCAAGGCATTGATAGGCCATGTGAAGAAAAACATATTATGGATGAAACTTTAGGTCAGTTTCACTGGTGTATAGCCTAGCACTCAATTCCTTCTAAAATGTCCAAACACTCTCCACAAACAACTTAGCCATTAGTGCACAACAGAAGGATAAAAAAGTATGAAAGTTGACATACATTTGTCAGTAATTGCATCACAGAGCCAGTCAGCTGAGCATAATGAGGGTACACTCTTTGCAACTGCTGGCTGAATAACTGCAGTAGTTGGCACTGTCTTAAGTCAGAAATATGCATCCATGGGTACATACAGACATCTAAAATATGTGTACATTTACCAAATTGGTCTGATTGCATTCCATCTTGCAATAATTTTTAGATGTCAGCTGTAGCAAAAGACTGAAAGATCACAGCCAGTGGCAAAATTCATCTTTCCAGCAATCTGACATCCTAAGAACAGGAGCTCACCTGGACTCGAATCCAAACTTCCATACTTTCTCTGAAGTATGGACATCATTAAGCCTCTTGCACACTTGTGACACAGAAGCAAGATCTTCTACGCTCAGGAAACACAAGATGTGTTCCAAAATTTCCGTTGGCAGGGAAAGCAGGGATGTGTCTGCATTCTGCTCCCCACTGAGCCAATGCATCACGTTCTTTTCGTTCGAAAACTCCGTAGCATCCATCAGCAGCATTCAACAACCACGTGCGCTGTTTCAAATGTCGAGAGTAGATTCCAAGCTCAGCAGATTCAGCCTTGCACGGATGAAAACATACACGAGTCGGAGCGCCGGAATAGAAACGGAAGTCAAATGCGGCGGTTAACGGTTCGAGAACTGCGGCACGTTACGGTCGAGGCCGTTCAAACCTTCCAATGACAAGCGGGGATTTGAAACCAGTGCCGTGTGGCCGAACCGGGATGCGAATGCTCGTGCGCGCCGTAACATGAGTGACAGTCGCAATTTTTTAGTTAGGACAAGGAGGGAGAAAAGGTTGCAGCCAGGGGTGTCACTCATTATATCCTTTCGGAATGACCGAGGCAGCTAATGCTTACATGAGCCTCCCCCGTCTCACCTCACAATACTCCTTTCAGCCTCGGAATGCCAATGAGCAGAGGGAATACTTGGTCAAATAAAGATCAAACAGCCATCTTGTCTAAGTGGTAAGTGTCGCAGTTTCCTAACGTATCACTAATGCGACCATGTATATCCTACACCACCCATCTTGTTGTACCATGTAAGGGTGCTGACCTACGGCTGGTGAAATTAGGCCATGGGCTCAGCGATGACAATATTAAACGAATCGTTCCATCTGATGTAACAGGGCAGTGTTAAACGGAGCCATACATCTCGTTAATTTCTTAGGCAACATAACAATCAAACTGCTGCATTTTAATAGCTCAAGGTCAAGAACAAAGGTTAGATCGAGTCAAGAAATAACCTGTTTGGTGCCGCAACTTAACGTGTAGGATAGTTTCTTTTGCCCTTTACAAGTCCTTGAGAGCAGAAACCGCATTATGCACCTTCCATGCGGTTCTTGAAGTTCGGAAAAGACTGCGCACCTAGAAATCACAGGTGAACCTTTTTATTTTTAGGAACATACCGCCTGGCATTAGCCTTGATGCTCTTTCAAGTGTAAAAATGAGAAAGTCTTGCAACTTTTGGTCACATTTAGCCTACAAAGGTCGAAAAATGTCATTAAATGTAAATGTGCACTGGGTACCATTTGCATAGCACCAGCATCATCTAGATTCAGTGTTTGCATCAGACGGTCTTGTTTCGTGCAAACAGGTGGGCGTAGGGGAGGGAGGAACACTTCACGCATCGATGTGAAACCAGACATTTTTGCTCCTGTTTGACTAGACTGCCATCATCTAAGACCCTTAAATCTTTACACACATGAATTGCACACAGCTCAAAATACCTCTTGAATTTAGCTTCTTTAGCTTTCTTGCTTTCCGAGATCTCAGGTGACCGGCTTGACCTTCCCACCCGAGCAAAGGGCATTCGAACGGAATGTGTTCACCCGTCATTGGTTGGGTTCGAATAAGTGTTTGATGGTGGCGGCGAGTGACACTGGGTTAAATCATTCGAAAAATGGAACTGAAAGCTTGGAGATGGCAATCTATGTAACAAACACTGCACAAAAAGCTGACAACAGGAAATCAGGGCGTCAAAGTACATCAGACATAGACGTGAAAGTCATAATTAAACATTGGAAGATGTTGCGTAACTAATGACCCTGACGTAACTGGAGAGCGAATAAGCCGAATTTGTTTTCGAATGCGTTAATAAAAAAGCAATACATAAAAAACACCTACATGACAATTTAGTAACCAAGTAGCAGTGAGGTTTTCCGTCAAACTTTCGCTTATATATTCAGTGGAACGCTGCACTACCCACAAAATGTATTTTACTATACGTACGTGATCTGTCGACAGCCCTAGGTGCAGCGACAGCACAACGGCGACAGAGAGCGGCGGTTTACGGAGCTGGCCTGCGCACACAGCGGAACCCGTCCGGACCGATTACAGCCCAAGCGGTCGGCACGCAGTGTGTGGCTTGCGGTGGGCCGCCGCCAAACGACCTGCCACCGGAAGAGGCGTTGTCAGGAACGTGTGAATGCTAGACACGGTGAGGACGGCTGCAGGCTCACGGGCCAGCTGTGCGACGGGTTGGAGGCTGCCGACTAGCCACCAGCACGGGCGTTGTCCGGCACCCTGTACCGATGGCAACAGCCTCCGGCGCCATCCAACAGGTCGCGCTTACCAGGCATGCCGGGTCAGCCCAGTCACGCCGGGGTCGCGCGCGGCCAGCAAGCAATGGCGGCGTCAGGTATACTCGAGCAGCAGGCCACGGAGAGCCGAACTGTCTCCGGCAAGGACGGTGTCTGCCGTCCTCTGACGTTACTATGCCCTGCTATGTCGATCCACTGTCTCCTCTTTCTTTGGGCGTCTTTCGCAATCCGTTTGCATCTGTTCCCGCTGCTGCTGCCGCTCGTACTTCGAGTTGTCAGTCTCCATGTGTGCAAACGTTATCGCCATGCAGGACGACTTCTGCTTTTTGAAAATCACCGAAGCCCGACGTAATTCTTTCAGAAATTTATGTAAAAAATAGTATAAAGCAAGCCATGATGAAGCGCTGCGATCATGGGTCATGGGCATTGTCAGTGCTCTCCTCATTGCCTACAAAAAGTGGGCCATTAGTGTATTCAAAGTCGCCTTGTATTCATCCAAAGGAAAATGGCATTCGCTTAGTGGCATATTGTGGATGCATATACGCATTGCTACAAATATTGCACGGTTTCGTTCCATATGACGCATACACAGGCCGACGTCGGTCCTTCCTAAAACTGCGTTACGAACCGCAGGAGGTACCTACCAACGATAAATGTCGACAAACAGGATACAGTTATCG